TGTGAATTTTGTGGCGCGGTGAAGTTACCTTTGATGGTCAGCCATCGAGCATTATCCTCCGAGTGACTTCGAGCCAGCAATCACTGACTTGGCCGAGTTCCTCTCTCCTCACGACTCAGCTGACATGCGCTCCCGTCTGCTGTTGGGCAACGGCGCTAGTGAGATGATCGATATGATATCGAGGTTGGCCCCGAAGGGTCAATGGAGACCGGGTGAGCAAGAATCTTCGTTTCACAAGATGCCTGATATCTTTCGACCGTTTCATGTACTCGTGCCTATTTCTCTGATGGACTTTCCACGTGTTCCAACTCGACTACTCAGTTCTTCATGTCATTTTTTTAATTCAGGTCCATTCACCACTCAGTATCAAGAGTATCGTCGGTCTGCAACCAACGCTGGTCGTGCCGAACTGCATTGGTCTGATGGTGGTGCTAAGCTGACGAGCATTGTGAACCCCTGCAATCCCACAGGCGACTATATGCACGTTGAGGAGATCAAAGAGTATGACTGCGAGGAGAGTCAAAGTCATAGTGTTATTAGGTACATCTCTGAGACGTGTGACGGCAACAGTTGGGTGGTGGTTGATGAGTCTATGCAGCCTTGGGCGGGCCCTCATTGGCGTGAAGACTCCCTTACTAGTCAGAAGGAGTTTATACAGGAGATCCAAAGGAAGAGAGGCATCAGTGTAGGCTGATGGTGACGAACGTATTTGTAGTTGTGTTTTTGTATCTGTGTCTCTAACCGTTTCGAGAGATGGTCGTTTTGGTCATTGCTGCTCGCCAACTGTTCAAGTATAGTGTGACGGTGGATCATTGTCAGGTTTATGTGATCCACTCGTGGACTAAGATATGGGCTTGTCCTGGCATCAGGCTGGGTTCGGTGGTTTGCCCTACTGCTGAGGACGCCAGTGGCATCAAGAAGATGCAAGTAGGATCTTTACCTTAATGGATGTATATATGATACCATCAGGTGCCATGGTCGGTGAATGTGATGGCTCTACATTACCTCTCTGGCTGCTGCAAGGCCGACGAGTATATGCAAAGGACGTGGAAGTCGACGGTCGAGTGGAGATCTTTCATCACTGATGGGCTCAAACACATCAACTTCCCAGGTGATTCGCAAGTAGTTCGAGAGGAATGTGTCTCATCGTACTGGTTTCAGGAGTGTATGGCGAGGCTTGGTCGTCATGGATTTGGATCGACACGGGCTCTGAGGATCTGGCTGAGGCTATTGTGGAGGAGTGCAAGGCAGCTGGTGTACCGATTCGTTGGGGGAAATTTGGGTAGTACCTGCTAGGCGAATGATAGAGGAATATGTGTTTTGTGTTCAGATACTGCATGCCTACCTATATCCGTCTGGGTGTACGTAAACCCTCCAGTGCGAAGGTCCTTATAAATACCATCGACAGGGTCGTTGAGGAACATCGATGTGCCTCTGAATAGATTGTCGTGTGAATATCACACGGGTATCTCTGTTGGTGAAATAACAATTTTCCGGGGGCGAGTTGGTGCTTTGCTGGGTCGCCTTCTCTGTTTTACTCCGTTACCAGCATACTACCTTTTCCCAGATGGAACGTGTTCTTGTTGTAGTTTAAGAGATGTAGTATCCGCCAGGTGACCTGTTCTGAATCTTTCACGCTACGACATAAGATACGCATCTTTCGAATATCCTTCATAGTGCGGGTGCACTGCGAGGAGTTGCCTTGCCTTACTTCGATCACAACTGAATTTAGATGCCCCTTGGGTTTTAACGTTATAATGGTGCCTCCTCGTAGCAGCGGCGACCATCAAGAGGGGTCAGTGGCCCAGGTGTTGATAGACGTTGATCGATTCCCTCATCTTGGTGGGGAGTCGGGCATTGTCGGGTTGTTGTTGGCCAACGCCGCCAGACGCCTTAAGCAGATCTCGCAGAAAGCAGGTAGTGTTGATGGGAGTGGTAGTAGTGGTTGTGGTGGATGGAGACGGTCAGGTTGTCGGAATATAACGGTGATGGGCCGGGGGGTCAAGTCCAAGGGCAACCACCCTGCGTCTGACGAGCCTCTACAGTTGGAATTACATGGCATTGAAAGGTAGATAAAAGTGGATAAGAAAATTTCCGGAGACTTTGACTGTGGTTCAGCGACCGCACGCCGCAGATAGCGTACGAGATGGTCCATCACATAATAGAGGAGGAGGATAGGACTCGGGCTGCTAAGGGCAAGGGGGGTCGATCGGTAGGTCTGAAGATTCATTTCTGGCTTACATTGTGGGCCTCAGCAACATGGTGGGTGGAGTAACTCTGGGGAGTGGGATAATACTAGTGGGGGGAGTGCCCTTTCGTCGTCGTCATCGTGGCAGCAGCAGCAGAAGGGTGGAGAGGCGCGGAGTGGGAGGGGGCGAGTGGGGGTAGTGGTGGGGGCAACTGGGGGCCTGCCCATGGTCGGGCACCTTACAAGGGGGGTAGTTGGAGTAAGGG